CAGCGACTACGTTGGCTAGGTCATGTTGTGAGAATGGATGAAGATGACCCAGCCCAGAAGTCATATAAAAACGAACCAGCTGATGGTTGTCGCAGAAAGGGAAGGCCACGAATTCGATGGAAAGATCAAGTAGACGACAACAGTTCGGAACAGGGTCTTTCAAATTAAAAGACCAGCGCACAAGATCGACATCACAAATGTTATAAACCAAAGCCTATCCGAAAAAATGCTTAGTAATGTTCATCGATTTCAGCAAAGCTTTTGACACATTATCACATTCGAAACTGCTATGCATACTAGAATGAAATGGGATAAGAGGTCAATGTTTAAAATCTAGTTCCGGAACGAACTATTTCATTCGAACTATTCCGAGAAAGGAACGATCGGAACTAGTTCCAGCTCTGTAATTAATATAGTTCCTTTTTCTGACCTCGTTCCTTTTTTATCTCGTTATTTTTTTTTCCTTTTTTTCTCGTTCTTTTTGTTTTTGATCTCTTTTTTTCTGATCTCAAAGGAACTGTATTTAATATATGAACTATATGGAGCAAAAGAACTATATATGGAAAAAAGAACAATGAAAGGTAGAGATTCAAAAGAACTATGTAGGAGTCGGAACTATATGGAGCAAAGGAACTTTTTGGAGCAAAGGAACTGTATGGAGCAAGGGAATTATATGGAGCAAATGTACTATATGGAAAAAACGAAAAAAAAAAACAAAAAGAACGATGAAAGAGAGAGATTCAAAGGAACTATGTAGGAGTCGGAACTATATGGAGCAAAGGAACTACATTAAGGAGCTAGTTCCTTTTTAAAAAAGGAACGAGAAAGATCGATCCGCTAAGTGAACTATATTGCCCAACTCTATTTAAACAGTATTTAAACTGCAGAAGTCAAAATTGATAATTGCACTAGCAAGGAGCACCAATTTGAATACGGAGTACCTCAGGGCTCCAAGCTTCGATCGATTCTGTTCATAATATATGTTAATGATATGATTAAAACTCTTAATGACAGCATTACCTTTTCGCATGCAAAACGAATGTTATTAGACTGTCATATGAAATGGAGACCACTGATTGGTAATATAAGAAAAAAAAACTACGCAAATCGTCCTACGCCTTGTAGCACCTAAGTGTTTGTGCACCATATAAAGTGTTGAGGTAAGCATATTTTTCGTCAGTCGAATCCTATCTACGACATGGAATATCCGCATGGGACAGTGCACCTACTCGCACTAACACTAACCAACAAGGTAGTAACTCATCAACTCAAACAATATCGAACTACAATGAAAATCTACCGAAACTTTAGCACATATTAAAGATTGATAGGAGATATTTCACAACACTTCGGCGCCACGATTCGATTGATTATCATACCCCGAAAGCAATATTGTGGTGTAATGCTATTAATTTTTATATAACCTTGAATATTTTTTATCCAATTTCCTTTCCTTTAATTCAAAAAAAAAAAAAATGAAGATTATTTATTAACACGTTTAAATAAATACCAAGAAATATTTTTTTTATTTTTTTTAATTAAATTTTCCCTATTTAACTCTTTCAAATATTTACTTCCCCGTCTTATTATCTGCATGCATAATTGAGTTCCATGGAACTTCTCCAGTTAGTTTTATTAAAATTACAATAAAAATTAAATAAAAAAACTAGGAGGCGACAGTTGAGCAATAATAATCGGAAATAAAAAAATGAGTATTGAGAAAAAAATTTTATTTTTAGTTGTTTTTGAATAAAAACGTGATATTCTCAGAAATATTTATTATCTCTATATTTTTTATAGATAATTCATAAATTAGATTAGCAAAAAAAGAACTAACTGTTGAACTCCATATTAGTCAGTTCACTTTTATTTTCAATTTGGATTATCAGTTTTGAATGAAACCAATGTCTTAGAGCCTCCACAATTATTAAATGTTGGCTGAAATTTTGTATTTGGGGTTCTCTTCGTGTAGAAAACCTCCCTACCAAAAATTATCAATATCGGTTCTCCTTTAGGAATAACCTCCATATAAAGGTCCTGCAATATTTTCGGCATTTTAAGAATTTTGAACACACTTTTCTGCCGAAATAGGCTGAAATTTTGTATTTGGGGTTCTCTTCGTGTAGAAAACCTGCCTACCAAAAGTTATTACTATCGGGCCACCTTTAGGTATAGCTCCAATATAGCGATACCTCTCGATTTTTAGTATTTGAAGGATGTAGGACACGATTTTCCACCGATTTGGTTGTAATTTGGTATTTTGGGTTCTCTTTGGGTAGAAAACCTCCCTACCAAAAATTATCAATATCAGTCTACTTTCAAGTATAGCCCCCATATAGCGGCACCCTCGAATTTTCGATATTTTAAGAATTTATGACATGTTTTTCCAGCCGAATTGCCTATAATTTGATATTTAGCGTTCGCTTTGGATAGAAAAACTCCCTACCAGAAATGATCAATATCGGTCCACCTTTAGGTACAGCTTCCATATAAAGGTTCCGCCATATTTTCGGCATTTGAGGATTATCACCATGTTTTTCCAGGCGAATTAGCTGTCATTTGATATTTGGCGTTCGCATTGGATATAAAATCTCCCTACCAAAAATTATCAATATTGGCCCACCTTTAGGTATAGCTCCCATATAGCGATACCCCTCGATTTTCAGTATTTTGAGAATTTTGGACACGTTTTTCCACCGACTTGGTTGAAATTTTGTATTTTGGGTTCGCTTTGGGTAGAAAACCTCCCTACCAAAAATTATCAATATCAGTCTACTTTTAGGTATAGGCCCCATATAGCGGTACCCTCGAATTTTCGATATTTTAAGGATTTAGGACATGGTTTTCTACCAATTTGGCTATAATATGAAATTTGGTATTCGCTTCGGATAGGAAACCTCCCTACCAAAAATTATCAATATCGGTCCACCTTTAGGTACAGCTTCCATATAAAGGTTCCGCCATATTATCGGCATCTTGGGGATTTTCAACATGTTTTCTACACGAATTGGCTGTGATTTGATATTTGGTGTTCGCTTTGGATAGAAAACCTCCCTACCAAAAATTATTAATATCGGCCCACTTTTAGGAATAACACCCATATAGCGGTACACCTCGATTTTCAGTATTTTAAGGATTTTGGACACGATTTTCCACCGAATTGGCTGAAATTTTGTATAAATATCATCAATATCAGTCCACTTTCAGGTATAGCCTCCATATAGCAGTACCCTCGAATTTTCGATACTTTAAGGATTTGGGACATGCTTTTCCACCGAATTGGCTGTAATTTGATATTTGGTATTCGCTTGGGATAGAAAAACTCCCTACCAAAAATTATCAATATCGGTCCACCTTTAGGAATATCCTCCATATAAAGGTTCCGCCATATTTTCGGTATATTGGAGATTTTCAACACGTTTTCTAGTTGAATTGCCTGTGATTTGATATTTGGAGTTCGCTTTGGATAGAAAACCTCCCTACCAAAAATTATTCATATCGGTACACTTTTAAGTATAGCCCCCATATAGCGGCACCATCGAATTTTCGATATTTTAAGGATTTGGAACTTGTTTTTCCACCGAATTGGCCGTAATTTGGTATTTGGCGTTCGCTTCGGATAGAAAACCTCCCTACCAAAAATTATTATTATTGGTCCTGTTTTAGGTATAGCTTCCATATAAGGGTTCCGCCATATTTTCGGCATCTTGGGGATTTTCAGCATGTTTTCTACCCGAATTGGCTGTGATTTGATATTTGGAGTTCGCTTTGCATAGAAAACCTCCCTACCAAAAATTATTAATATTGGTCGACTTTTAGGCTTGGCTGCCATATAGCGGTACCCCTCGATTTTTAGTATTTGAAGGATGTAGGACACGATTTTCCACCGAATTTGTTGTAATTTGGTATTTTGGGTTCTCTTTGGGTAGAAAACCTCCCTACCAAAAATTATCAATATCAGTCTACTATCAAGTATAGCCCCCATATAGCAGTACCCTCGAATTTTCGATACTTTAAGGATTTGGGACATGCTTTTCCACCGAATTGGCTGTAATTTGATATTTGGCGTTCGCTTTGGATAGGACACCTCCCTACCAAAAATTATTAATATTGGTCGACTTTTAGGCTTAGCTGCCATATAGCGGTACCCATCGATTTTAAGATTTAGGATCAGATTTTCAACCAAATTAGCTAAAATTTTGTATTTTGGATTCGCTTCAAATAGAAAAGCTCCCTACCAAAAATTATTAATATCGGCCCACTTTTTGGTATAGCACCCATATAGCGGTACCACTCGATTTTCAGTACTTTACGGATTTAGGACACGTTTTTCCACCGAATTGGCTGCATTTAGTTTTATCGTCGTGTAGAAAACCTCCCTGCCAAAAAAATTATCAATATTGGTCAATTTTTAGGTAAAGCTCCCATATAACGGTACTCTCCAAAAATTCGATACTTTGGGAAATTGGGACACGTAGTTCTACCGATTTGGCTGAAATTTTGTATTTTGGGTTCTCTTCGGGTAGAAAACCGACCTATCAAACATTATCTATACTGGTCCACTTTTAGGTATAGCGGTACCCCCTTGATTTTAGGTATTTTAAGGATTTAGCATACGCTTTTCCACCGAATTGGCTGAAATTTTGTATTTTGAGTTCGCTTGGTGTTGTATACCTCCCTACAAAAAATTATAAATATCGGTACACCTTTTGGTATAGCTCACATATAACGGTACCCTCCAAAATTCGATTTTTTGCAGATTTGGGACACGTTTTTCAACCGATTTGGCTGAAATTTTGTATTTTGGGTTCGCTTCGCATAGAAAATCCTCCTATCAAAAATTTTCAACGACCTATTCGAAATTTCTTTTAAGTCCCGATTTTTTTTTGAAATTACGATATTTTTTTGGAATATTGAAAAAACCTCGATTATTGCCTTCATTTTTTATTTTTCAAAAATTTCGTTCAAAGCTCCAACTGAGCTGTTTTTAAAAATTCCATTTAAGCTGCGGGTGATGGAGCTGCAGCAGAGCTGGAACCGGTACCGGCATCAGTACCTGTACCCGAAGTTGCACTCGAACTGGCATCCGAACTACCATCTGCATTACTGGCCGCAACGGTTGTAGCACCAGCCGCCTCAGCAACGGTGGTCTTTTCAGCAGCCTCCGTGGTGGCGTCCGTGTTGTCACTACCATCAGTATCATTGGCAGTGGTTGTACTATCCGATCCACTTGAATAATATTGGGGATTGCAACAGCCCAACATTGGATCACTTGCACCCATAACACAGGCACCAACTCTCTCATCAAAATAGCTGCCATTGGCACAATAACCCGAAGCTACCTCAACACCGTTGACACAATACAAATAACCGGTGCAGTTGTTGGCGGAATACATATTCACGAAGCTGCTGGTGCTACCCTCACAACGATCACAATTATTGCGGGCCTCGGCGCGATCGACACACTGTTGGCTGACGGTATCATAGAATTCACCAGTGGGACATTGTGCTATTTGATAATAGCTGCCATCACAGACCATATAGGTGTCACAGCTGAAACCGGCCTTTTTGGTGTTTTTGGTGCTGCAGGTATTGGGCACGAGGAAGGGATCATTGGTAACCTAAAAGGGGAGAGGAAGGAGATCGAAATTTTTATTATTTATATTTTTTTGTATAGGCCTTACCCTGTACCCACCTGAGAACATGTCACCACTTGGGGATATTCACACATCATTGTCAGGACATTGTATTCCATGCCATTGGCACAGATACCGCTTTGCAGGACATTATCCACACACTTATTCCATCCGCTACAGGCCGAGGGGCTACCAAAGAAAATACCATTCGGTATGAAGTTACACAAATTCAGCGGCAGGGTAATGGTAATCGAAATTGAGCTACCATCTGCAGCCTCACCACTACCATCCTCAATACTGATATCGGTATCCACTCCCATACCCGTCGATGAACCCGAACATGGATATTCCCCAGGATAGACGCAAGCCTGTTTCACAGGATTAAAATATTCACCATAGGGACAGGAGGCACGCATCGGCCCGGTTTGACTGCAATAATAGAAATCGGTACATGAACCGGCAACGGGTGCCCACGATCCCACCGTATAACCCGAACAGGGTACACTGCTGGAGATGGCACATTGTACCTGATCCTGGGGCATACAGCTTTGATGTTCCTTGCTAAAGATGGAATTCGTTGGACAGATACGACGGGCAGCTTTGCCGCCCTGACATTCGTAATAGGCATCACAGGCATCCAGAGAGGAAATCATGAGGCCATCATTGACCAGAGCACACAGGTGATTCATATTGAATTTGTTGGAGAAGCCATGGGTGGCAAGGGCCAAAGAGGCCACCAGGGCGAGGGTGGTAAGGATGTGGGTACCTGAGGAGGTGGGGCGGGAGAAGAAAAAGAAAAATAAGAAAATAGAAGCTGATATTTTGTAGATAACTTTGAGGTGCTGTTATAGAATAGATAAATCATCTAACATTATTTGAAACAAATTTAGATAAAATTGCCCAGATATGGAACTTACCCATAATTTCGTAACTCTTTTTTTTCTAGGACTTGACTTCTTCGGTGTGACAAATTAACTATGTTCTTTCTATCGAAATAAAATGTGAACTGTTTGTAATTGTTGCGAAATTTTGGTATTTTATAGTACTTCAGATGGTGCGGGATCATATCTTGAAGTGACTTGTCCAAAACAACAAATGAAAAATTCGGACATAGATAAATCAGACAGTTGTCTATTTTTTCCCCGATATTTTATCAATTGAACATAATGATTGATCTGTTCGTGCCATTGCAGGGTGCACAGTTTTAGAAAATTGCCTAATGGATTCAGTGGATGGGATCAGAGCGCGGCCTGACTAATACCAGTTCAAAAATAGACTATTTTTTTAGTAATAAATTGATTCTAAAATTAAATTTCCAAGAAATTTCTTCTAAAAATGGAATATATTGGAATTTTAATGCCTCACTTAGACCCGAAAATCCGCAGTATGATCGATGTTTTGCTAATTAGATAAATTATCTAGTTTGTTGTGGCGCGTGGACATTGTACCCGAAATTTAAGTTAATTACGTATTGGAAATATATTGAAAGGTTGGGGCATGGGTGGGAAAGTTCAGTAGTTGGGAATCTGTTATTTTTAGTAACGTAGATAAATTATCTATGTCCCCTAACTGGTGTAGATAAATTATTAAAGCCTCTCGATAAAGTAGCTATGAATGTAGGTTATCTAAATAATGTAAATAAATCATCTATGATATTTTATTACAAAGATAATGTATCTACATTTTCTAAATTATCTATGTTCTCCACGCCATGTAACTATATTATCTAAGTTACCTAAATACCGTAAAAAAAGTATCTACGTTGCCATAATAGTGTAGGCAAAGTATCTACGTTATGAAAACAACGTAGATAAATTATCTAAGTTAGATAAATAATTAAAAAAAGATAATTTACACCATAAAAAATGTAGATAAATAATTTATGTTATCTAAATAGCGTAGATAATGTATCTACGTTAGCTAAATAGCATAGATAATGTATCTATGTTATCTAAATAATGTAGATAACGTATCTAAGTTATTAAATTAATGTAGATAGCATAGATAATGTATCTACGCTAGCTAAATATTGTAGATAAATTATCTACGTCATCCCAATAACATAGAGAAAGTATCTACGATATCCAAATAATGTAGATAACGTGTCTATGTTATCTAAATAACGTAGATAACGTATCTAAATAACGTAGATAACGTATGTATGTAAAGTTGTTATCTAAATAATGTAGATGAAGTATCTACGGTATCTAAATAACGTAGATAAATTATCTACGTTGTCTAAATAACGTAGATAAATTATCTACGTTGTCTAAATAACGTAGATAAATTATCTACGTTGTCTAAATAACGTAGATAACGTATCTATGTTATGTAAATATTGTAGATAAAGTATAAATGTATCTACGTTATCTAAATATTGTGGATAAATTATCTACGTTATCTAAATATTGTGGATAAATTATCTACGTCATCCCAAAAACATATAGAAAGTATTTATAATCCAAAATATAATCCAAATAATATAGATAACGTATCTAAGTTATCTAAATAACATTAGATAAATTATCTACGTTATCTAATATCTACTTAATCTACATAACGTAGATAAATTATCTACGTTGTCTAAATAACGTAGATAAATTATCTAAGTTGTCTAGATAACGTAGATAAATTATCTACGGTGTCTAAATAACGTAGATAAATTATCTACGTTGTCTAAATTACGTAGATAAATTATCTACGTTGTCTAAATAACGTAGATAACGTATCTATGTTATGTAAATATTGTAGATAAAGTATAAATATATCTACGTTATCTAAATATTGTGGATAAATTATCTACGTCATCCCAAAAACATATAGAAATATAATATATAATATCTCTAAATATTGTATTCACAATTCTTACAGAATGTAGATAAATTATTTGGGTAATAAAAATAAAGTAGATAAATTTATCTATGCAGCATTTATAATGTAGATAATCTTATCTATGTTATTTAAATAACATAGATGATTTATCTATCCAAAATATAATCCAAATAATATAGATAACGTATCTAAGTTATCTAAATAACGTAGATGAATTATCTGCGTTATCTAAATAACGTAGATAATTTATCTGCGTTGTCCAAATAACTTTGATACTTTATCTACGTTTTTTACGATCAGAATTCATAAAATAGATAACGTAGATATAGTTCCTACGCGGATAAAGTTTCTACGTTATTTAAATGACATAAATAATCTATCTATGTTATATAAATAAAGTAGATATTCAGACCCTCTAAATAATATAGATAAATTAGCTAGATTATATAATATCTATAGATAATGTATTCACAATGCTTACCGAATGTAGATAAATTATTTGGGTAATAAAAATAATGTAGACAAATTCATCTATGCATCATTTATAATGTAGATAATTTGTCTGTGTTTAAAAACACAGCAAAATATATTACCTACATCATTTATAATATAGATAAATTACAAATTCGATCCAAATAATCTAGATAAATTATCTACATCATCTAAAGTTACATTTATGTTAACCAAATGACATAGATAAATAAATTATCTTCATAATTTATAAAGTAGATAAATCAAAAATGTCAACCAAATAATCTAGATAAATTGTCTACATCATTTAAAATTTCATTTATGTTAACCAAATGACATAGATAAATTATCTAAGGTATTAAAACAACATAATAACATAAAAAAATTAAATAATAAATATATAAATATCGTAGATACAATTTTTTAGGTTATCTGAAAATCTTAAATTGCATGTATGAATGTAGATAAATTATCTAAGGTGTAAAAATCACATGCTAAAAAAAAACAAAAAAAAAAAAAAAAAATGTAGACAGATTATATGCAATAAATAAATGGCATGTAAATATTTTTCTGTTATCAAAAAAATTAGATAAATTATCTAACTTGAAAAAATCACACAGAATGTAGATAAATTATCTTAAAGTATAAAAATCACACGCTGAAATAACAATAAATAATGTAGACAGTTTATCTGCAATAAATAAAAGACATGCAAATATTTTTGTATGTTATCTTAAAAATTAGATAAATTATCTACGTTGAGAAAAAATCACAAACAATCGAATATTTGTTTGCCTATAATAAAGTATTAAGTCATTTTCTGACTTAATACTTTATTATGGACAAACAAATATCTCACACCTGTTAAATCGTTTATCTAGCGGCATAGATAAATTATCTAACATGAGTATTTTTTATTATCTACACTAAAAATCAAAGCAAATTGTTTTTTTTTTCAAAAATTTATCTCAAAATAAATAAAAAAATATATCCAATAAACCCCAAGGGTGGAAAATTTATTTCCATGGAATTGTTTTCGATTCTCCCGCACCTATTATGGGACCGATTTTATAATGATGACTCAACATTGGAATGCAAACATAAACAACAATGTTATAAAAATTATTATTTTTATTATTTTTATTAACATTATAAAATTATAAAAGACGTAACACCTCGAAGAAATTTTTTTTGAAGATTTCCATTATCTACGGGAGTATTACAAGGGGGATTTTCTTTCAATGCAGGTAATAACTGAATGAATGACGAACATGGTGATCAGACACCCAATAATTCATTGAAAAAATAACGGTTTAGCTATTTCTGGAATTCATTCAATATTTTTGTTAAAAATAAACACATGATTCAGATTCGTTACAATCGCCTTTTGCAGCAGCAAAAAAAGCTTTGCCGAAAAAAATCCCAAACTGTCAAATTGAAATTTATTAGCGAAAACAAACAAACAATGGTGTTGAACACAAATTCGAAAATTGTCACATTGTTCTTTGACTTCGATTTGAAATTTCTCGTAACTTGAGATAAGAAAAAATATTTTGTCGATAAACGTCGAAAAAAAACTGTGGTCAGTGGAATAAAAAAAAAAAAAAAAAAAAAGACAAAAACAATTTGTCTTCAAAATTTGATTAATCAGCTACTGATATCATTAATAAATTTCACATGAACTACTATTACTTGTGTTAATGGGCCAAAAGTAATTGAAAACACACACACACAGATAAATATTTAATTGGCCAGAGGTGTGGTTAAATTGACCGCTTTGTTAAATTTTGAGGGAATTCAAAAAAAAAGTTTATAAATCGAAAAATTTAGACCAGTAAATAAATAAAAATATTTTCTGGACCATGTGGCGTATGAATGCTGACAACAATTATCCACACTAATGTACAGATGGAATTATTTGAGATAATTGGCCTGGTAAAGGTATAAGAGAATTATTTTTTTTTTAAATCCACGCCTTGTAATTGGCTTCTGAATATTTTTGATACCCTTCACAACACTGTGGTACAGGTATTTGGCCCAAGGACAAACCCTATTGAAATTAGAAAAAATCGGTTCAGATTTAGATATAGCTCCCATATATATTTTCGTCCGATTTAAGGTAAATGGGTCACCAAAGTCCCTATATATCATTCGATTTGCACGAAATTTGGCATAGAGTACTGAATTAGGTCCAGAATGATGTGTGCTAAGTTTCGTGAAAATTGGTTCAGATTTAGATATAGCTGCCATATATATTTTCGTCTGATTTAAAGTAAATGGTGCACCAAAGTTCCTATATACCATTCGATTTGCATGAAATTTGGCACAGCGTACTAAATTAAGTTTAAAATGATGTGTGCTAAGTTTCGAGAAAATCGGTTCAGATTTAGATATAGCTCCCATATATATTTTCGTCCGATTTAAGGTAAATGGTGCATCAATGTTCCTATATATCATTCGATTTGCATGAAATTTGGGATAGAGTACGGAATTAGGTCTAGAAAGATGTATGCGAAGTTTCGAGAAAATCGGTTCAGATTTAGATATAGCTCGCATATATATTTTCGTCCGATTTAAGGTAAGTGGTGCACCAAAGTCCCTATATATCATTCGATTTGAACGAAATTTGGCATAGAGTACTGAATTGGCGCAGAATGATATGTGCCAAGTTTCGAGAAAATCGGTTCAGATTGAGATAGAGCTCCCATATATAGTTTCGTCCGATTTAAGGTAAATGGTGCACCAAAGTCCCTATATACCTTTCGATTTGCATGAAATTCGGCATAGAGTACTGAATTAGGCGCAGAATGATGTGTGCTGAGTTTCGTGGAAATCGGTCTAGATTTAGATATAGCTCCCATATATAGTTTCGTCCGATTTAAGGTAAATGGGTCTCCAAATTCCCTATATATCTTTCGATTTGCCCGAAATTTGGCATAGGGTATTGAATTGGGTCCAGAATGATGTGTGCCAAGTTTCGTGAAAATCGGATCAGATTTAGTTATAGCTCCCATATATAGTTTTGTCCGATTTAAGGTAAATGGTGCACCAAAGTCCCTATATATCATTCGATTTGAACGAAATTTGGCATAGAGTACTGAATTAGGCGCAGAATGATATGTGCCAAGTTTCGAGAAAATCGGTTCAGATTGAGATATAGCTCCCATATATATTTTCATCCGATTTAAGGTAAGTGGTGCACCAAAGTCCCTATATATCATTCGATTTAGAAGAAATTTGGCATAGAGTACTGAATTAGGTTCAGAATGATGTGTGCCAAGTTTCGTGAAAATCGGTTCAGATTTAGATATAGCTCGCATATATATTTTCGTCCGATTTAAAGTAAATGGTGCACCAAAGTTCCTATATACCATTCGATTTGCATGAAATTTGGCACAGCGTACTAAATTAAGTTTAAAATGATGTGTGCTAAGTTTTGTGAAAATCGGTTCAGATATAGATATAGCTCGCATATATATTTTCGTCCGATTTAAGGTAAATGGGGCACCAAAGTTCCTATATATCATTCGATTTGCATGAAATTTCGCACAGAGTACTGAATTAGGCGCAGAATGATGTGTGCTGAGTTTCGTGGAAATCGGTCTAGATTTAGATATGGCTCCCATATATATATTCGTCCGATTTAAGGTAAATGGGGCACCAAAGTCCCTATATATCTTTCGATTTGCACGAAATTTGGCATAGGGTATTGAATTGGGTCCAGAATGATGTGTGCCAAGTTTCGTGAAAATCGGATCAGATTTACATATAGCTCCCATATATAGTTTTGTCCGATTTAAGGTAAATGGGGCACCAAAGTCCCTCTATATCATTCGATTTGCATGAAATTTCGCACAGAGTACTGAATTAGGCGCAGAATGATGTGTGCTGAGTTTCGTGGAAATCGGTCTAGATTTAGATATAGCTCCCATATATAGTTTCGTCCGATTTAAGGTAAATGGGTCTCCAAATTCCCTATATATCTTTCGATTTGCACGAAATTTGGCATAGGGTATTGAATTGGGTCCAGAATGATGTGTGCCAAGTTTCGTGAAAATCGGATCAGATTTAAATATAGCTCCCATATATAGTTTTGTCCGATTTAAGGTAAATGGTGCACCAAAGTCCCTATATATCATTCGATTTGAACGAAATTTGGCATAGAGTACTGAATTAGGCGCAGAATGATATGTGCCAAGTTTCGAGAAAATCGGTTCAGATTGAGATATAGCTCCCATATATAGTTTCGTCCGATTTAAGGTAAATGGGGCACCAAAGTCCCTCTATATCTTTCGATCTGCACGAAATTTGGCATAGGGTGCTGAATTGGCTCCAGAATGATGGGTGTCAAGTTTTCTTGAAATTGGTTCAGATTTACATATAGTTCCTATATATACTTTCGTCCGATTTTAAGTAAATGGTCCGACTTTACTACTTTCCTTACTGGTTAAAATAGAAGGCGTGGACTGTTTTAAAAATATTTTTCTAAGGCCTTTTCTAAGGTATTTGCCATCCGAATTACCTGTAATTTGGCATTCATATTTTGACACAAACCCCATATAAAGGTTCCGACCCCTCCTCCACAAAGCTACGCCCCTATTTTCAATGTTCAAAATCATTATTGATTTGTTTGTTTTTTTTTTCATCGTTTTCGATTTCCGATTTCAATAAGGGTTTTCGATCATAGCCAAATGACAACAAGAAAAGAAACGAACAAACAGTGTCACACAAATAATAATTTATTAATACTACGACTACTACTCGGTAGCCTTTATTAGAAGCAGAAAAAGAAAAACAAAAAAATGTACTCAGGTGGTCATAGCTCCAGGAATCGGCTGGAACTTGAAAATATGTGAAATTCAAATTTAGTTGTATTTTTTCGTGGTTATTGGTGTGTACTCATGTCGGTGCTCGACGGCGAAATACGTCGCATAATTAGAACGACAAAGGGAATCTAAGCGAAAACGAAAATAAGAAAAGAAAAATAAAATAAAGTTTTGAGTGGATTTTTGAACATTTGACGAAATTTGAAAAAAACGAAAGAAATTGAAAAACAAAGAGAGTTATGTGTGAGTGCTAAAATCAAAAAAAAAAGTGATAGAATTTATGCAGATCTATTATTGTTTTGTTGTTGCTTATGTGTGTGTGTGATAATTGTGCAATTAGAGAGTGAGAGTGGGAGAGAGAGAGAGTGTACCGTGTGACCCCCTATCTTATCAATAATGTTGACAAATTAATCGAAAAATATATATTAATAATTCAAAACATTGTTTATTACATATGTTATGTTTTTTTAAAGAGGTTGTACATTTTGGAGGAGGGGTATAGATTATGGGGAACTTGAAAAATAAATAATACAAATATTAATATATGTAATTATTTATGTAATCTTAAAATACCAATGGGGCCATTGAGACATCATTGTAAATGGAAGTGGATATTATTATACCCTTCACCTCAATGTGGTACAGGGTATTATGTCTTTGTGCATAGACCCATGGTTCCTTTTGAGAATATGCATAGAATCACTTTCTGAGTCGATTTATGCATGTCCGACTGTCCATACAGATCGCAGTTATTATCCGAATTGAATGAAATTTGGCACAGCTCATCTAATTGGCCCAAGGACGAACCCTATTGGGAAAAATCGCTTCAAATTTAGATATAGCTCCAATATATTTTCATCCGATTTAAGGTAAATGGTCCACCAAAGTACCTATATATCTTTCGATTTGCACGAAACTTGGCATGTCGTACTAAATTAAGTCTAGAGAGATGTGTGTTAAGTTTCGTGAAAATCGGCTCAGATTTAGGTATAATTCCCATATATATTTTCGTCCGATTTAAGGTAAATGGTGCACCAAATTGCCTATATATCTTTCGATTTGCACCAAATTTGACATATCGTACTAAATTAAGTCTAGAGAGATGTGTGTTAAGTTTCCTGAACATCGGTTCAGATTTAGATATAGCTCCCATATATATTTTCGGCCGATTTAGGGTAAATAGTGCACCAAAGTCCCTACATATCTCTCGATTTGCAAGAAATTGGGCATAGCATAATGAATTGAGTCTTAAATTATGAGTAGTAAGTTTCCTGAAAATCGGTCCAGATTTAGATATAGCTCCCATATATATTTTCGTCCGATTTTAATACATATTGAAGCTATGGCTGCATCAGCACCATTTTAACGAAACGCAATAACGTCCTTCAAGTCTCAATTTGATACATTGTGAAAAATTTCGTGTTAATCGAACAAACATTAGGAGTTTGGTGCACCATTTATGTAAAATCGGGCGAATGCATATCCATATGTTTAACCCATATCGAAATCGGAACCGATTTTCCCGAAACATATCTCTGTATTTTCCCATATATTTTCACTTCATATTAGGAGATAGACATTTGCCATTATTTTTTTTATATGTCGAAATGTTTAGTTTTCGAGGTTCACAACTCGGTTCATGAACCACCAAGGGCCTCGAAAATGTCCACAACACCTGAGCATTATATCAAAAAAAAAAAAAAAACCTATGTGGAAATGTTTTGTTTTCAAAGTTCATAGCTCAGTCTTCGGGACCACCGAAGGGCTCGGAATTTTACACAAGGTTTGAGAATAATCTCAGAACTGTGTATGCCAAATTTCGTAAAGACATTCCCCTCTTTTTCCGTATATCCCCCTCCCATAAATAAAAAAACTTTGGTCATTAACAATTTTTCAAGTCAACATGTTTTCCTTTTTAACATTCAAGGTTCATAGTTCGGCCCAGGAACCATTAAGGCTCTAGAAAATTTGCACAATGTTAGAGTCATATCTACGAAGTATCTATGGCAAATTTCGTAAAGATATCTCCCTTCCGGAACATATTTCCCCTCTCCTTCTACTATACGCACTTTGTTACTAAAAATTTGCTTTGGCGAACTGTTTTACTTTCCGGAGTCATAGCACGAGCCATGACCTACCAAGGATCCTGAAAATGTACACATGGTTCAGAGCATTATTTGAAAATTATCTGTGACAAATTTCGTAAAGATATATATTTTTTGTCTCGCATTTCTGCCTGCATTTATATGTGGACTAAACCCTTGTCATTAAAATTGTTCTATGTCGAGATGGTAAATTTCCAACGTCCGTAGATCGGTCCTTGAGCCAGAAAAGGTCTCCAAAATATTCATAAGCTTAGAGTATTAGCACTACGTTGACTGTGCCAAATTTCCTCTGGATATCTCCCTCCCGTCCCAATATTATCCCTTGCTCAATGAGAAACTATGAACCTTTAAAATACAGTTTTTCGAAGTAGAAAATTTATTTATGACTATCTATCTCACGAAGGGAAGGGAAAATAGGGAATCGAAGTAAGATATTCATATGTGGTTTGACATAGCTAGTTCTGAGATAATACTCTAATATCGTGTTTTTTTCAAGATCAGAGATAGTTCATAAGCCTAGGTATGGTCCTAGAAAATAAATCAACAGGTCATATAGAATTTTCAATGACAGGGGTTTATCTCAATGAGTGAGGGGAAAATTTGGTATCGATTAGAGATATTTATTTGAAATTTGACATAGACATTTCTGAGATAATTCTCCAATATTGTGGAAATTTTCAAGATCCTAGATAGTTCATGGGCCAAGCTATGGACCTCGAAATTAAATCATTAAGGCATAGAGATTTTTGTAATGACAGGGGTTTAACTCAAGGAGGGAGGGGGAAATTAAAGGATCGAATAAAGATATCCATATGAAATTTATCATAGATAATTCAGAGATATTACCAAAAAAGTGTGTAAATTTTCAAGATCCTAGATATTTCATGGGCCATGCTATGGACATAGAGAATTTTCAATGTCAGTGGTTTATTTCAGCAAAGGAGGAGGAAATTACAAGAGGGATGGGTGATATCCATATGAAATTTGGCATAGATAATTCTGAGATAATAAAGTTTGCCTAATTTCAAGATCCTAGTAAGTTCATGGGCAAAGCTGTGGACCTACAAAATAAATCATCAGGTCATAGAGAATTTTTAATGGCAAGGTACTATCTCAAGTAGCGAGGGGGAAATAGGGGATCGAATGGAGACATTTTGCGTAGATAAATATGAGATAATACGCAAAGAGTGTGCAAAATTTCAAGATCCTAGATAGTTAATGGGCCAAGCTATGGACCTAAAAAATAAATCATCAGGCCATAGAGAATTATTAATGGCAAGGAGAATTATTAATGACTTAAGGACCACCTTAAAATAAAACATATCGAACAAATAAGTCTCTATATAGGACCCCTCGCTTTTCTATTTTTCGAAAGTTCCAGTTTCAATTTTCCAATCAAGGTGTTTGTACTTTGACATTTTGGATTCAAATAGTCATCCTGGAAGTTTTCAATAGGTGTCCATGCTTGTTAGAAACCTTTGTATTACGATCTTCCCCATTTTAGGTATCTTCAAGATCCTGGCCTTATTTTTCAAACCTTGTGCCGGTATTTAGGCATAAGCGAATATCAGAGTCTCTCGGGATATTTTCGAATTTCGACCTTGCCTAACTTATTTTCTTCAATTTGAGTCCATGTTTTGTCAGAAACCTTTGTATTACTATATTCCCCTGATTAGGTATTTTCAAGGTCCTGGCCGTTCTTCCAACCCTAGTGCCGTTATTTAGGCCTAACCGACTACCAGAGTCTCTCGGTCTATTTTCGAATTTCGACCTTACCGAACCTATTTAATTTTTTTCTAATTTAATTTTTTCTAAATATTTCTTCTATTTACATTTTGACAGTTAAATCATCCTGCAATCGGAATTATCCTGCCGTTCCTCTTGTCTGCCTATTGGTTGCATTAACAGTCCAGACGGCATTTGGACAAACGGCAAATAAAACCTGCAGCACCAACTCCACCACAAATACCAGCTGCACCACATCCCGCAGTTCGGATTTCAATCCCGATGAATTGTGTCCGCTCATTCCGTATGGGACGAAAATCAAAGATCCACGCTTCTGCAATGTCTATATCTCTTGTATGAATGACACCAGTGTTACCGGTTCGTGTGGTGAACAGTTTTTCGATCGTGATACGGGTGAATGTGTCGATCCGACAACCATCAATTGCCTGTCCAGTGATCCATGTGCCAAAAAGCCAACAGGCTTCGTTGCCGATCCCTATAGTTGCAGTAATTATTATTATTGTGCTAATGGTGTCGGGACCCTGGGTAAATGTTCGACAGGCCTTAATTATAATCCCGATACAAATAATTGTGTACGGAATTTCTCCTGTGAAATAACTATGCTGCCGGAGGACTATTGCAACATTGTTCCGGAAGGTGTTTTCATTAAGGTTCCCGATTCATGTACGGAATATCAATTGTGTTGGCAATCGAAGTTGTTGAATGGTACCTGTCCCGATGGATTTTATTTTGATGCGTATCGGGGTGGTTGTGATTATCCCAATCATGTGGAGTGTTCGCATCACAAGGATCAGCTGCCGAATATACCGGAAGATGTGAAATGTACTGAGAGCGGAGTATTCATATCGGATGGTGTCACCTGTGATGGCTATTTCTATTGTAGTGAATTAGCGGATGGGACATTTGATATGCGTTATGGCCGTTGTCCGGCCGATCGTTTCTTTGAACCCACCGATGGTGGACAATGTGCACCGAGGACCAGTGTCAAATGTGAACATAATCGATGCGTTACGATGGGTATGGATTTCATACAAATGGCCAATGTTAATGGAGATGGATGTGTGGGATTTTCGTTGTGTCAAAATGGTCAGACTATTGGACAGGCTCAGTGTCCGCAGGGACAATATTTTGATGAATGGTCACAGCTGTGTGTGGATCAGGTGATTGATTATGTCGCCTGTTCGAAGGGTGAGGGTGATGATGCGGCTGTGCCATCAACTACCACAACTGAGGTAATTTCGAAGGCTGCGGCGGAATTTTTCTCTTATCCAAATGTGGTGTTGCAAAAAGCCGGTCTGGCTGCCCAAATTTTATCGCCGGTTGTAGTTCCAAGATTTACTTAAAAAAATTATGGATATATTTTAAAGATTCTGATTTGAAAATAAATTTCATTATCTACGAAAAAAAATTTGTTTGTTTTTCTGATTTTCCGAATTTCTATGGCCAGGCCATTTGATCCAAGCCAAGAATCTTAACAATTGAAGAATTTCGGCATAGAAATTTTTAATAAAAAAATGTGGGATTGAAGGTGGGTATCCGTAAGAAATTTGACATATGGAATTCTGATATAATTATCAAATACGGTGAAAAAATTCAGGGCCCTATAAGGTCCAAGAAGCGAGCTATGGACTATGGAATCAAAGAAGTATCCATCTAAAATGATGTTGAAGACAAGGGAGTTCTTTTATAAAATCAGGGTAAACTGTGACATCGAAGGTCTGTATGATATTCGCCACATATAAGCCCGAGATGATGCTCAAATATGGTGCAAAATTTCAAGACTCTAGGAGATTCAAGAAGTGAGCTATGGACCTTGGAATTGAAGAAGTCTCCATATGAAATAATGTTAATGACAATGAAACTGCTGTATAAAATCAGGGCAAAATATGGGATCGAAAGGAGATATCTTTACGAAATTTGGCATGTATACGCCTGAGGTGATATTCAAATATGGTGCCAACTTTCAAGGTATTAGGAGGTTCGAGAAACGAGCTATGAATCTTGGAATTAATGAAGTCTCCATCTGAAATTATGTTGATAACAAGAGAGTTATTGTATAAAATTAGGGCAAAGTATAGAGAGTAGGTATCTATATAAAATTTTGCATAGATACTTCTGAGGTAATGCTCAAATACGGTGTAAATTTTCAAGACCCTAGGATGTTCTAGAAGCGAGATATGGGCCCAGGAATTAAAGAAGTCTCCCTCCGAAATTATGTTGATAACAAGAGAGTTATTGTATAAAATTAGGGCAAAATATGGGATCGAAGGTAGGTATATGTATGAAATTTGGCATATATAAGCCTGATATGATGCTCAAATACGGTGCAAATTTTCAAGACTCTAGGTAGTTTGAGAAGCGAGATATGAACATGGAAATAGTATATATTGTCATTGAAAAATATTAATGTACAATGTTATATCTCTTAAGGATGGGGAAATATTCGGACAGGCGGAGGATATCAATCAGAAATTTGGTCTTAACAATTCTGAGATAATGCTCAAAACCTGTGCTAATGCTCGAGGCCCTTAGTGGCTCATGAGCCGTTCTATGAACCTTGACAAAAAAAAAAGAAAAACATTTCGTCATAGGCAGTTTTTAATGACAAATGTATGGATCTGCAGTCCGTCTACTATATTTTCCAAAACAGGGTCGGGTTGAAATGCATTCGCTTTCGAGGCTTTTGTACAATTTCCGGTATGGCTATCAAATATTTATCATCACACGAACCGATTGTAAAACTATCGTTAATACATGTTACGTAACTATTATAATAGCCGGAATCCTTAATTAACTTACTATTGGACATTGGGGTACAGAGCTCCCGAGGAATGAATATTTCATCTGGATCAATGAAATTTTCAGGACAGGTAGTCGTGGTCTGTGGGAATAAGGGGGCGATGTAAGAATAATGGTGTTTCTTTATGATTTCTGGAGATATCGTCGATGATTCCAAATCGGGTGTGCTTAATTAGGTTGTCATTTCAGGTTTTTCGTAATTGTCGATAAATTTTCTTTGGAATATATTGAAGGTGGTATTTTTCGGACATTTGGCATTTATTAGTCTACCATTCATACAAAATTGATAACAATTTTCTCTCTCTTTTTTTGATATTCACCTTCTCATTGAGTATATTACAATAATCATCCGGATACATGGTAATCTCGCATTTATATTTCTTTTCACGTTTCTCCTAGGCGGGATTGAATATACTCAATGAGGAGGTGAATATCAAGGACCCGAGAGAGAAAATGGTTTTCTGTTTTGTAAAAACGGCATCCTACTCAATGCCACATGTCCGGAAAATACCACCTACAACACATTCCAAGGGAAATGCATAGATACCTCGGGAAAACCTGTAACGACAACCCAATTACCCCCGATTTGGGATCATCGACAATATCTCCTGAAACTACAATGGCACCACAGCAATCTAGCAACGTCACCGCATTGCCAGAGACCATAACACGTCCTCCTGAAAATCCCAACGATCCAGATGAAATATTCAATGCCCGGCAGCTCTGTCCCCTACTGCCCTACTGGGATATGAATCAGAAATTTGGTCTTAACAATTCTGAGAGAAAATGGTTATCAATTTTGTAAAAATAGTAGCCAAATAAATGTCACATGTCCGGAAAATACCACCTACAACACCTTCCAAGGGATATGTATAGATAACTCGGGAAAACCTGTAACGACAACGACAATTACCCCCAACCACACTCGATTTGGGATCATCGACGATATCTCCTGAAACTACAATGACACCCCCGGAATCTAACAGCATCACCATATTGCCAGGGACCCCAACACGTCCTCTTGAAAATCCCAGCGATAATACCTATGTGACATGCCTCAACGATACGTACATATATAACCGGTACGTGTAGTGATAAATATTTTTGTAAGACAAGCTACTATACCTGGATGAGGTACTATATCAGGATGAGGTACTATTTCAGGGTGAGGTACTATACCAGGATAAGCTACTATATCAGGATAAGCTACAATACCAAGATAAGCTACTATACCAGGACAAGCTACTATATCAGGATGGGCTACTATTCCAGAGTGAGGTACTATTCCAGGATAAGCTACTATGCTAGGATAAGCTACTATGCTAGGATAAGCTACTATATCAGGGTGAGCTACTATACCAGGATAGGTGAGCTACTATACCAGGGTAAGGTAATATATCACGGTCAGGTACTATACCAGGATGAGATACTATACCAGAATAACCTACTATAGCAGGATAAGCTACTATACGGGGATAAGCTACCATACCAGGATGGGGTACTATGCCAGGATAAGCTACTATATCAGGATAAGCTACAATACCAAGATAAGCTACTATACCAGGGTTATGTACTATACCAGGATGAGATACTGTCCCAGAATAACCTACTATAGCAGGATAAGCTACTATAAAGAGGCACGCTACTATACCATGATAAGCGACTATACCCGAATACGTTACTATACCTGAATAAGCTACAATACCAGGTTAAGCTACTATACCAGAAAAAACTACTATAGCAGGACAAGCTACTATACGGGGATAAGCTACTATACCAGGATGGGGTACTATTCCAGGATAAGCTACTATATCAGGATAAGCTACAATACCAAGATAAGCTCCTATAACAGGGTTTGGTACTATAACAGGATGATATACTATACCAGAATAACCTACTATAGCAGGATAAACTACTATAACGGGAGACGCTACTATACCCGAATACGTTACTATATCTGAATAAGCTACAGGATAAGTTACTATAACTATATAACAGGACAAGGCTACTATATCAGGATAAGCTACTATGCCAGGATAAGCTACAATACCAAGATAAGCTACTATTCCGGGGTTAGGTACTATACCAGGATGAGATACTATACAAGAATAACCTACTATAGCAGGATAAGCTACTATAACGGGACACGTTACTATACCAGGATAAGCTATTATACCCGAATACGTTATTATACCTGAATAAGCTGCTATAGCATGATAAGCCACTATACCGGGACAATCTACTATACCAGGATGAGTAACTACACCAGTATAAGCTACGATATCAGGATAAGCTACTAAACAATAATAATTTACTATACCAGGAAAAACCACTATTCCAGGACAACCTACTATATCAGGATAAACTACTTTACCAGGATAAGTTACATGCCAGGGAAAGCTACTATAACAGCTCTTATTGCTTCAATCAGATTTTGAGCATTTACATTATTGTTGTTCTGATCAAAATTCCTTCTGTATAGCTTATCAGATTCTGATGACTTCCTCAAATATTTCATGGTAGGCCTGAGGATTACAGCTGGGATTTGTTGGTACATTCGCTATAAATACTCACAATATTGGTACAATAATAACCCTGGCAGGATTATGGATCCGGTACAAATTTCCAATTTTCAATGATAGTTATATTGCGGATCCCCTTGGTGATCTGCGGAATACAAAGGATGGAGGATAAGTTACTACACCTGGGTAAGCTACTACGACAGGATATGCAATTATTTCAGGATAAGATACAATAAGATTTTCATGACTGAATATTTTTTTTCATTCTTTTCTGACGCTTATCAGATTCTGATGACTTCCTCAATAATTTGATAGCAGGCATAAATAAAAAATTCCCTTTAAAAAAACACCCGCAAATTATTTCCCCATTTTACACATCGATATCTCTATCTTCCCGGAAACTGCAAATACTTTCTCCCGAGAAATAAAAAAAAAAAAACGAACTAAGACCCTTTCATAAAAATTAACAGCCGCATTGTCTATATATACAATTCCGATGAATCTTATCTGGGCCTCAGACAAGTTCGCACACACCTTTGAGGTGTTTTTTCGATGATTATGGGGAACTACTTGAGTTTCGTTTTTAACCTAAGAAGATTGCATTTAAAACCAAACAAAATAATATATCAGACACTTTTAGACAGAAAACTCCCCCAGTTGGCAGGTGTTATCAGCGGAGATTGTAGTATAGCTGCTGTTTGTTATCGTCATCGGTATGGTCATAAATTTTTATGACCAGTTTTTGTTTGCTGTTGTTGCTTTAATTTGCAATAACATGGTTCCGAAACTTTCACTGGCTGACACTTAGTATTGGATTGATTGGTATCTGAGAAGGTTTGTGGCGTGATATATTTGCGGAAAATTTGGAAACTGAGAAAAACAGAAAGGAAAGGAGGCTACAATATGGGTAAGAGAGAGTTTTCTGGAGATTTTTTTTGAAGCAGATTTTTAAAGAAAAATATTTATTTTTTTCATCCTTCCAGTCCCCAACCGAATTGGTTTCAAGGAATACGGAATTTTCT